CAAGTGATTCGTTGGATAATTTTCAGATTTTTCTTAAAACGTTGCTTCTGTGCAGCACACTATGACAAAGAGCGAAAAAGAAAAGCATTACTGAAGTGAATATGTGTTGCATGTATGAAAGCTGAGCTGTTTGCTTACAAACAGTCGTAGTTAGCGAAGCTAACACTTTTCGCAATGAATAGATTCATTCAGAAATAAACGCCAAATTCGAAATGAAATTGAAATTATTACAGTGAATTTGCCTCAGTTTTCGAATTGCTATCAAAGGCTTCATGGACAGTATGGAAAGGTACTAATTTGTTGATTGTTCATCACCAGATTCATTATTCCATAAAGTGCTACAGTCGCTGTTGGTGCTCCAGTTGTCAATGAAATAACTTCCCTATTTTAATAGAAATTTGCTGTCTCTTCGCCATTTTTCAATCACCATTTGTTCAACTGCAAAGTAAATTGATTAAAAGTACGGGTGTGTGATTTTTCATGAATGAAAACTTTGCTGAGAAATCAGTGTTGCAGTCTGTTAAAAACAATGAAATTCAAGTCGCTTTGACAGAAACGTATTGTTGGTTATTTTGCGCTTTTAATGCTAATTTTTCTAGTTGCTTATTGATTTTTAGTGAAAACTATAGGTAACATCGTACGGTTATCCATTTGGTTACGAAAATGATCGGAACTGTATCATCCAATTATCTGTGCCAAAAGGAACTCAGGTGTGCCTGAAATTTGAAGATTTCGAAACGGATGAGTGCTGTGATATAGTTCTTATATATGATGGTGCCAAAACGTCTGGCTTCCCATCAGCCATGTAATTTTTTTTTCTTTTGTAATTTCTCAGCGAATGAAACATTCATTTGCATGTCTAGTTAATGGCAGCTGTAGTTCGGCGTGCACATTTTCAGCCTATCGGGCCAGCAAAAAAGAACCAAGAGCTTTCGGTCCAGCAATTCGCTTCTTTCACTGAAGTTCATTACAAGCGACAGCCATCCGGCGTCGTATCGTGGATGGTCTGCTGTTTTCAGAAGTATTTTGGCTGAAGAGTCTTGCTGACTGCAAACGGTTTATTACAGATAGCAGCGCTCTCTCAGTTGTTGCTGAAAATTTCAGTTTTTTAAACGACAAGACATTCCGATGATACTTGTTGATTTTGCTCAGCAATACATGTTCCATTCCAGTCTCAGTGCAATCCTCATTTTCCTCCTTACTACCTCTCGTACAACATCTTTAGAATACCATATTTGGCAGCGCTGCTGCTTGTGAAATAATGTTTATGCATTGTTAGTATGCTAAAATTTTGCTGTGTCCAAATGTCTCAGTTTCCTGTCTTCAGTCCTTGAAAGTACTTCCCGCACTTTTAATATCATTACGTTCGCTCGACTGTCGCGGCTCCAAATAAAAGATTGTAGAAAATTTGCTGGCACCTTCGAAAAGCCGCTATATTATCTAGTAATTGTTAATGACATCAAGCTCAAGTACCAGTATGCATCTCGCCAACTACAACTTCATATCACAACTTGGGCTTATTTTTGTAGCCTAAAAACTAAGTAGGCTGAAAGCTGAAAATTCCAAGCGACAAATTTAACTAATTACTTGCTATAGGCGACCAGGATTCAGCACCAAAATCTGGAGATTTTTGATTTATTGTTCTTTGTTAAGGTTAGCTTTGTAAATCCAAAACAGAATAAATCCAGAA